GGCAACAAGTTGCCTGGAACAGTCAAACAACCAAATTGATCTTACATTTAATGTGGAAATAAATCATTTTTACCTTATATTTTAACATCGCTGTGAGAAAACAATTCAGAGAAAATATACAGTATCCAGAGACTGTGCGGAGGGCCATTATTTGAAAAGGCCCTGGTCATTGAAAACTATAGCATCAGCTAATTAGAAACGAATGAGGCAAATGAAAGGACTAGAGTCCGTCTGACTAACCCTCACCCCACTCCAGCCCAGCTGCGTGTCTGGTGCCCCGGTATCTGAGTTACAAACTTTGACACTGTTATTGAGTGGGATGAGTTGATTTCAGCAGGGCAGGGCAATTATGTTTTGCCTTTGATTTCCTTTCTTTAATACTAGCAAGATCTTGTTCAACGAAGTGTGGATCATAATTCTTGTCTGCTTTACTCAATTGTTTCAACTACTGAGAAAACAATTAATGCAGTAAATGGCCATTGAGTACCTGCCACACTAAAGGGATGATGTTAGGGTATGGAAGTTGGAAGAATGTACAAGAAATAGTCGACCATCTAGCGAGGTAAAGCAAGGGTGCCGAAGTCAGGAAACCACAACGTACATTCTGTTCCCTCCACTCCCTGTGCGACCCCAAGTCCCCTCATGTCTCTAAATCACAACTGTCTTCTTTATAGAAGGAGTTTAGCCACAGTGACTGCCTCCCAGGCTTGTTGTGACAATAAGGGAAAAGCTCTTAATTCACTGTTTGGGTTAAAGTAAGTGATCAACAAGTAGAGCTCCTTAGCTAGTTTATAATGGAAAGGCTTCAAAGAAGATGAAAGTGTAGAGGAATTGATAGGAAATCAAGAAAAGAAAAACAACGAGCAGATATTGGAAAGTGGTGCAATGCATGAACTATAAAAATTCAGCAGAAGGAGAGGCCAGTCCTAGAAAAGCATTTTTCTTCATATTGCTCCCCAGCTATGCCCCAGCTGAGCTACTGTAATTTCGTCGCGCAATTATGTACAAAGAGCAGCGTTTGGATTCCTAATCAAACAGCCAGCTGATTCCTTAGGAACTTGGAGAAATATTTGTACTTTAACTCATCCAACATAAGTGATTTTACATTAAGGAGATTATAAATTTCAATCGCTTGCAATGCCATTCTGCCATATTAAGAATACTTCACTTAACAAACGTAGCATGAAAGTGACACTGCTTGGTGGGTTGGGGGAGGTGGTGAGAACTACCTGGCTTCTCAGTGAATTTGCTCTGTGGATATTTGGCCTCTTTAACTACGCCCTTCCCCATCTTCAGCCTCCAAAACCAACAACAGCCCGGGAAACAAAAACCTGAAAGCACAGGTTACTACTTTGTCATTTCATTCATTTCCAAAATGTTGCATCTGTACCATAGTATTCAAATACGAGTTTAAGTAATGTCAGCCGCAGTCATGCCAATTTATAATCCCCCATCAATTTACATTCCTGGGCAGAATATTAATGAATTATACTCAAACTACAAATAATATCCAACTGCTGTATTTTAGTAGAAACACTCTGACGCGTTCAGATTGATAAGACCCAGACGTTTTAAATCCTAAAACTCCTCAATCTTAGCAGAATGCATCCTTTTATTCGCTAGGAGGCATTTGTCCACTCCTAACCTTTTTACCTCCAGAAAATAAATGACGCATGTGACCTGAAAATTGAATTAATCTTGACTGAGAAAGAAATAATAAAAATCGCTAATGTCGTCATGATCGCCACAGCACGCCTACGGGGCAGACACTGCTGCTGTTGCTGTTTCCCAAGATGTATTATATCTTGCTAATCCCCAATAAATATGAAAAACCGATCATTTCGCAGCCGAGAATCGACAAACCGGAACACATTTCTCATTGGAATGGACGAGATAAGCAGGTTGCCACCACGCGGCGTCTGCCTCGGGCGGGCTGTGTCCCGGCGCCGCCGCGGTTCATTCTTAGGTCACTGCCCGCACGTGTCCGCTCGGCCGGCCCAGGACCAGAGTGGGCGACACGGCGCACAGCCCCTGCCCCGGCTGGAAGGCCACCCTGCTGCCTACCTGCTGTGACAACTGACAACAACGGGTACCTCCGAGGAAACCTCATTCCGGCTGTAAATCTCTTGCCCCGGAGAGCGAGCTGAGGAACGAACGGGATTCATGAATATAAATTGGGCTCTCTTTAGACTTAAGTTTTCATCTTGAAACTGGAGCGCCATTCGCTCCCCACGTAAATCTTGATTTGCCTTAAGTGTGTTGACGGTGGGAAGCCCAGCGCCATGCGTAGCTGAGTATTAAAGTGCACAAATCACCCGGCCGAGGAGGCCCCTGCACCGGTCTCAGCAGGTGACTCACTCTCTGCCCTGCAGTGGGAGGCGGCCACACCACCTCCTCTCCGCTCTCTTCTCTCTTTGAATGTTACTTGAGGGCCCCCTCTGCCTTCCAAGACGTCCCGTTTATCGCATGTCTTAACATCTCAGTTACCACACAACTTATTTGCTCTTTACCCCAGCTTGGGTTTGGAGCTGGCGTAACCGTGAGTGTGGCCTAGGCGCCTCGGCTCATTTCCGAGCAGGCTGAGAGGGTGGGAGGGTGCAGCGAGCAGACACCGAATTACAGAGGCCCCCACCTCTCCCGCCCTCTGCCCTCTCCTCTTTCTGTCTGCCTGGGAGCTGTGTGTGTTCTGCCAAAAGCCCACTGAGGCCAGCTGGGCTTTCATCATATGACCAAATTCAAGTCAAAAAATGTAAGGCCTTTCTCTCCTTTCAACCTGTCCTTTGGCTCTTTGGCCAGAAGTAAGGCTTTATTATCTTTACCATCACAGGGACTCCGGGATGGGTTCACACTGCCTGCCCTTTGCCATGGCACTGAACAGTCAGGGAGACTGTTGGTCCTAAGTTTTCCACAACCACCCCAAGTTATTTCCTTACGTATTTGCACAGTTCTTGTTACAGTGAGTTTGATGTAGCTAGGAGTGATATAAAAATAGAATAGTAAAACAGCGACAGATATATAACTGTATGAATTAGAGGAAAAGACCTAGACAATGGGAAAAAAGAGAAAACTATTTTTTTGGTTGCAATTAATGTTAAAAGAAATTTCTCCCAAGTGCCTCTGCATATGAGGCATCTTGGGAGGGAGGGGGGACTGTGACATGGCCTTAGTCACATTTCTTGTCCCCAAGTCTCGTGGTTTTCCCCTGTTGTGTAAGCTGTAAACATGTTTAGGGATGCGGGCCTCAAGCCGATGTTACTAGTCTTCGTAGACCAACAGAGCACGTTAAAGGAAGGCTCTAGCTGTGTACTGTGGGCACAAGGTAGCTGGTGGGGAGGTCGTCATTACTCTTAATTGTATACTTCACAGGTGGTGACTTTATAAAAATTCAAAATAACTCAATACATTAAAACTATGAAAATAAAGCAAGGTGGATATGAACGTAAAATAAGGGGACATGTAGAGAAAGTCAGGGGGTGACTTTATAAATGACATGCTTCTCCAGCCACTGATGGCGGGCACAGTTAGGCCCCCCACGCTCCCCATCTGGTGTTCCAGACTGACTACCCCCGTCTCGTTGCCTTTAATGAGTCAAGCTGATTTCCTAACTCAGTGGCTCTCTCAGGCTACATTTCCACAATATTTCTAAGGTGGACAAAGATACTTTACTGTACGGCCAAGGATAGTAAAACATTGACTTCCGTAAAGACTATAATGTAATCTGATCCTGCCTCACCTTCCCCAATATAAAGGTAAAACTCTCAGGTGCACTCAAATATAGGTTACTTATTAACAATGCATATCGATTAGGAATTTATTTTATTTTACCTTCTGTTCATTTGCTAAATCTAGTTGTGAGACTTAGTTTAGTGCTTGTGTTAAGAAAATCTAAGATGTTAAAGAGTCTCCTTCAGAGAATTGTACTAAGAGAGCAGCTGCACTTGCTCCCAGGTACTCGGTGTGTTAATAACATGGGCTCTGGAAGGACCTTGTTTTATAGCAGGAAGCAAATGTTTCATTTCTCTGCCATCATGACGCTTCACCTAAATCATTACTTCCTCCCCAACATTTATAAGAATGGTTCAGTCTCTCTTTAAGAATACTTATGTGCATATATGCATTGCCCACGGACACAGACAATAGTAAGGTGAAGGCCTGGGGTGGGGTAGGAACCGGGTGGAGGGGGACAGTGGGGGGAAAAAGGGGAGGACATCTGTAATACTCTCAACAATAAAGATTAAAAAAAGAATAAACTACTCGTGGTGATTAAAATAATTAGATAAATGTTGGCCTGCCAAAAGAAAAGGAACCCAACCAATGACCCACCCAGAAGGACACAAACAGATAAACCTTTTAAATGTTGCCTCTTGGATCATCTGTTACACGTGCGTGGTCACTTACTGGAGTGTTTTACCAGAATGTTCTCACAGAACGAAAGCATGGCATACCCTTCACTTGCTGTGACAGCCCTTTGTTTAAGGAAATGGACATTGAGTCAGTCAGCGCAGGGAATCATTTTGTTCATGATCATGGACACAAAAAGTAGATGAATGCATGTGAAGTCAATAGGCTGTTGGGTGGCCTCTGGGTGAAATGAGGTTGTGCAGAAAGGTAAGAGAGTAAGAGAATGAGTTGACTTAATTGGAAAAGAACTTGATAGGCAGTGAATTCTCTGAATATCATCAAAACCAAAGCCAAAGACATATAGGAAAGATATAATGTGTAGCTGTCAACTGATGTCTATAGAGGTTCCTGTGTTTGTGTCATGAAGAATTTATCATCGTCACAACATGCTCATTGAACTATTCTGCATCAATATGGAAATATCAGTCAATTTTAGGGGGGAGAATGCATTCTTATTAGATAAGCATTTGGATAACACATTCTTGATGTGGAGATTGAGAGGACTCAAGGTTGGCTTGTAAACAAATGCTCTCACCCCACCAAATACCACTTGTGATTTTCCTGCCACAACCGGTTCAAAAGGTGGTTTTTCTTTGCAGGTTACCAGCCGGTCTTGTCTGGTCAGCAGGGGTTCCAAGGCCTCATGGGAGTGCAGCAGCCACCTCAGAATCAGAGCGTCATGAGCAACCAACCAGGAACTCCAGTGCAAAGTGTGATGGTCTCCTACCCAACCATGTCTTCTTATCAGGTGCGCATCGGCAGGGTTATAAAATAGCACTGGCCAAAGCAGAGGCTGTGGGTGCATTCCCCATGCCGGGTGGGTGCTAGGCACAGCCACTGTTGACGGTTGACTTTGAGTCAAGGTTCTAGGAGACAACTAGAACATGGGAAATGCATGCTTCTATATCTACTGTGGCTTACGCATGTCCTGCCAAGAAAGTTCTTTAGTCCAAACTTCTATTCATGAAGATCTTTGGGCATTCTATGGAAATTTTACTTATTGGGAAGAAGCCCTCATGACAAATTCCCATTCATTTTTGTACACACCCCAAAAAACTTTATTTATCACAATTATAAGTTAAGAGATTTTAAAATGGCATCTCAGATTCATGCAAAGGGCATTTATGGAACCCAACAACTGCATTTTCCAGACTAAATCTATATTGGATGTTTAAAAAGTGTTATGCACCCTTTTGTGGTCTGCATCCTGAAGCTCACTGGAAGGGGAGTGAAGGGTAGTGAGACGTTTTCATAATTACATTTAGCCGCACCAGGCAACCAGGTCCTTCTGGCCGTAAAGAACCTATCCTCAGCCCTCCTACCCTGACAGTCCTTACTCGCACTGAATCAGTGTCTACCTCCAGCTTCATATTAAATGTTCTCTAAAGCTGCAGGCTGAGAGTGACTTAGGTCCCTGGGACAAAAGCCCTTCTTGCTACAGATGGCTCCAGGCCACTTTGTTTACATAAAACCAGAATAGGAGCATGGCTTTCCAAACAGAGAAATCCAGACTGGGAGGTCCAGAGTGCTATCCCAGGAGAGTAACAAGAGAGGGGACAGAAGCTCAGCACTAACACCTCTGCTCATTTACTGCATAGCAGATGTGTACCAAGCATTGTACATCATCCTTGCAGTCCTCTCGGGGATCATTTGAAGTAGGTGATATTACACAAATGGTCTAGGGAATCAGAGAGGTTAAGTGGATTGTCCAATGCGAAAGAGCTAAGAAAAGGCAGAGCTGAGATTGGTGAAACCAAAAGCTTGAATATTTTTCAGGACATCACAGTATTTCATTGGACACCCAATAACAACCTCTTCATGAACGGTTCTCTCTTGTGTCTTCCTACAGGTGCCAATGACCCAAGGTTCTCAAGGACTGCCCCAGCAGTCATACCAACAGCCAATCATGCTACCTAACCAGACAGGTCAGGGGTCCCTCCCAGCCACTGGAATGCCTGTTTACTGTAATGTCACACCGCCGACCCCTCAGAACAACCTTAGGCTGATTGGCCCACACTGTCCCTCCAGCACTGTCCCCATGATGTCGGCGAGCTGCAGGACAAACTGTGCGAGTATGAGCAGTGCCGGGTGGCAGGTCAAATTCTGAGCGCTCTGGCCGGGGTACATTTCCTCCCATATTCCTCATGGCCTTTAAAGGAAGGAGCAAAGTGGGGAGACTAGCTGAGGACTTAACTATTCACTCAACACCCAAATGGTTGCTGCTGGCATTCTGTAAAAAACAAAGACTAATACACACATTAGCTGGTTAATGGTGCATATTTCCGTCATGTCTGCTAGGTATGCCTTTATAGCTTAGCTAGTGACATGAATTCATCAAGGTAAGATTTTCTCCTACCACTGAACACCACTGTGTAGACCATAATATCCCTAATTTGGATTATTAGTTTTGTACTTTGTGTTGAGTTTGTGATGATGAAAGTATTTAAAAAATTATATACTGAACTCATATTGTACCAAAGCTGTAATGGAAAAGCAAAGAATTGACGGCTGGAAGGAATAATTTATATACACTATAGAGTTTTCTTTTTTTAATGGACATATACTGTATTGTAGTGTTTAATCAAAATAAAACTATTTGACCTTATGGAGGAAGGTCATGTTTTTACCACCAGTTTGGCTCAGTCTGTCTTCCAATATGGGTTTGATAATATGTCACTGGTGTCCCCTTCGAGCTCTATTTCATGAACAAGTCACAGAAAAGATGTTCCGGGGGGTTGTAAGTGAACTGGAATCACATGGGGAGGTGTCGTAGGCAAACACTTAGCCAACTGTAATTCCTTGTCCCGCTACAGCAGGGGTCCTGGAGGTTAGATGGCACTGAACTCATCCATTCATTGAATTCACATTTTTGAAATGTATACCTTGGTTTTAGTTTTAAGGCTATCGGATACATGTAGCTATATTTCCCCAGTTAGGAAAACCCGGGTGTCTTGGTAACAGCAGTCCTGTACCAAACCCTGTTTCACCTTCATTCAAGTCCCACCATTTACCTGGAAATCAAAATTTGCTTAAATGGAAATTAGAAGAGGCATGTTCTAATTCCACCAATCATATTGGGTCATACGATGTTAAGTGCCACTGGTATTGATTCAGAGGCACTCGTATTTAATGTTTGTCCAAGTAACTGAAAATAAGGTAAAATAGAGCAATAATTGAGTCACAAAGATTCAAAACATTGGCAAAAAATTTTAAAAGAGCCTTGTTCCAGGCCTTGGCCAGGTAGCTTAGTCGGTTAGAGCATTGTCCCGACATGCCAAGGTTGCAGGTTCAATCCCCAGTCAGGGCACATACAAGAATCAACCACTGAATGCATAAATAACTGGAACAGAAATGCATTGTTTCTCTCTCTCCCTCTCTCTCTCTTTCTCTCTAAAAATCAATTAATAAAATTTTTTTTAAATAAAATAAAAAATAAAAGAGGCTTGTTTCTGTCTAATATCAAAGTGTTTAATCTCCTATAGATTCTGCAGTTAGGATTGATTTGACAAATAGTAACAGAACTCTGAATGTCAGCTTTGGCCCTCTGATAGATGTTTAATGGGGTAATAAAACCCCAGAGCTTTTGCTTTACTTTCATAGCACAATGACTAGTAGTTTTGTATTCTATACTCTCTGCCTAAAAACTATTGTTACCAGCAACAGGGCTAGACAAAGTATATATAGATAATTCCCATTGTTTTTCATATTATCACATTCTTTATATTAGATTTTTTCCATTTTCATGTTGTTTAGCTGGAGACAGAGTTAAGCAACTGGTTAAGAATGTTACCTAACAGATTATCATTTCTTAATTCTATACTATCATTTTATTTTTCCTTTAAAAGGGAACTTTTACAAATACTCTCCTTAGCTCCATTCCTTGTGAAGTCTGTCCCATTTTCCCAAATCTCAGTCTACTGATTTCTTCGTCCTAAATAATCCCAAGAAAAATGTTATAAAAAGAGGATGTTGTTTGGTTTTTTTAATTGCGCCATTAAACCAATAAGCTCAGTAACTGTTAAACTAATAGCTGCTCTGAGAAGGAGCAGTCTGTTTGCTAAATTAACACCTTTCCCTAATGGAAGGAGGGAGCTGACCAATACAGATTCACTTTTGAAATATATTCTCTCTAGCCCTGTGATCTTGGCAGTGGTCCCAAACTCAAGGATCCAAATATGAGTCTGAATGTTTATCTTCTTTTCATAGAATTCTGGGAAATGTTGATCTTTTCCTTAATGATTCCTAGAACTACTGAACCTTATTGCCCATGGATTTGAAACATGCATCATACTAGTGGTAAAGATGGGCCCTCTTTATCTTGGCCACTCTTCCCAATATGTCTACACTCTTTCAGATTTAGGCACTGACTTTAATTACATAAGTCCTTTTGGATACCATCTCAGGCTGAGCCTTCTCTGTTTGCACTAAATATTGATATCCAGCTCTATTCCAGATCTTAAGTTTTGTTTACTGTCTTTCACATTAGAATATTTGCGATGGGTATGTATTTGATTATTTCGAAATTATGTGGCTCCATTCAAAATAAGTACAAATAAATTAAAAGCCCTTAGATTTAGTGCTGTAAATTTTTTCATACATTTGGTTATTCTGTGATAGTTGGAACCAAATGTTCTAACTGAATTTCCACCATAATTATTTTATTGTTTTAATATAGTTCCGCAGGATGTGGGCTGGGGGTAGGAGAGTGTGTTGCATAACATTATGGGAATAAAACTACGTAATTAATTATAAGTATGGCTGGAGGGTTTAGAATCAAGTTATAAATCATCGTTAACAAAATAAGTGGGAAACATATGAGCCAGAGAAACTTTACGAGAGAGAGTTGAAGGGCAAAGCAAATACAACTGGGAAAGAAAGAATGCTGAGGCTAAAATGGCTTTGAGATCTAATAAATGCATATTTAGGCCCTGCTTCCACTGTTGCCAGCAGCTGCAGTGCGACGGGACGCTTTCCTACCCCCGTCCTCCTGTGGACCTGCATTCTGTGTGCACAGGTGCGTACCGCGGACAGAGGTGCAGCCCGCGCCTCCCCTGTGCCCTGGCACGCACCATCACAGGCAGCTTCATCCCTCACAGGCCGAAAAGAAAGTAGGAAACACCTCACCCTAAGGTTGGAATTAAAACGTGTCGTTTGGGTTTTGCATCTAAGTAATATCTTAGAATAGTAGTTTCTCAATTATTTCCATGGAAGATTCCTTTCTCAGGATACTTGTAGTTATATGAAAAAGACTATGGACAGTTATAATTGGGAGACACGGTTAATGAAGAGTAGGCAATCTCTTTAAAAGCTTTCTGATTTCTGCAAGCCTATAATTTCCAATATCATGAATTTCCAAGAGGGAGGCGTAATGTGCACAGTTCCTCAAACTTAATTGAACACAATATCCATGTATCACAGAATGTATCCAAAGACTATTATTAAGAACATATATTTTTTAAAACTTCTATTAGCGAGCCCTAAGACAAGAATACAAATATATTTACTTTATTTCTGTAGAAACCATGTTATATATCAAAATGTAATATCACAACTCTGCTTCTGGCTAGGACAGGCTTGGTAACTGATTGTCTACTATTTCTTCCATGAATGTGTGAGCCTGGAAGGTAATGCCACATTGCCAATAGTTCTAGAACTTTCTATTTGCAAAATTCTTAATGTTGAAGGACTTGATATTTAAACTTACATCTAAAATTATAGTAATAGTCTCATAGATATATAGTTATAGGTATATCCAGTGATCCTGTACACCTCTATGTGAGCATGACAGGGACAAGAGTGACTTACGCATTCATTTATTGCACTTCCTAATTTCAAGACCTTAAGCCACAGTCTATGGAGCCCCTCCTCCTAGGAAGTTTATGAGTTTTCAGAATTAATTATGTCAGTCTATAAATGACTAAAAATATAGGAAATTAGCCACAGGTCTCGTGAAAATACATGTAAGATAGCTTTTTAGAGAAGGAGCAGATGGCTTTTGGCTGTGGTTTTGTAAGGCTTTCAACCTCATAGGTGAAATCTGGGCATGCAGACCTGAGGGGGGAGAAATGCCTGAACGAAAAGGAAAGAAACACAGGAAACATGAACATTATAATTCCGGTTGGAGTAGGAGGTGACTAGATAGAAGGAAGGGACACGATGAGTGCTTAGGAATTCACAGTGGGCCTGGTTGGCATGACTGTGAAAGCCAGAGTTAACAGGTGAACAGAAGCTTCTGAAGGTTTCTGAATGAAAGGTAATATGATCTCAGCCATGGTTTATAAAGAAGTGTGGGCCTCCAGAAGGAAGATGGATGAGAGTTGAAAAGGCTCTTCAGAAACTGGAGGCGAACACGATGGTAGTTAAGGTCTGGCACTGAGCTACAGCATCACTGGGATAAGTAAGAGCGAGTGCTAGCTCTTAATTCCTGACACTTCGCAATTCTCTTGCATGCGCGGCCAAGCTTTAGCGGTGTATGTCTTGTCTTTACCTCTTGGCCAGAGACTTCTGCATGCAAGTGCCCTACCTTAAGCTGCATTATAAGGCACAGTCACTATAACTTGTCAGGGTAAAGCAAATGAAGACTGAGCTGAAATCGCAGACAGCATGGGAAGCCTGACAAGCCTCCATCACAATATAATTGGTATCAATACACAATATGCAGTGAAATCTGATATAGACCTCCTGTTCCCCCTTTAAAAAACATGGTGAGGCTCATCAGTTGAGCATCAACCTAGGATCCAGGAGACCTCCGTTCGATTCCCGGTCAGGACGCAGGCCTGGGGTTGAGGGCTCGATCCCCAGCAGGGGGAGTGCAGGAGGCAGCCGATCAATGACTGTCTCATCATTGATGTTTCTCTCTCTCTCTCTCTGAAATCAACGAAGATTTTTTTTTAAAAAAAGCACGTGGTGAGAACACTTATCCTTTACGGCTCAGAGAAAAATTTTTGTTTTCTGTACCCTTAGGGATGCCCCTTCTACACGAGACCAGAGGTCTCTGCTCTTCCCACGCGATTCTGCCCCAAGCCCTCTTTCCTAAGGAAGTCGTCGTCTTCAGAGCACTGAGACTCTTTTCCTATGGTTCTCAGCTTTGCTGTTTGTTTCCAGTTCAAATGTGCATCACGTGCCTTCTGTGGGGTTCCGCGACCTCCAGTCCTCTCTGCAAAAGGATCTGCCGCTATTTCATCGTCTGCTGCTCTCGGCGTTGTCTACACCCAGTGGGGTGAGGGGCATGTGATAACCGTCTGCAGGGGAAAATCACTCCTGACCGAAGTCCCACACACCCGACTCCTCCCCTGGGCAGGAGGCTGCTTTCTCTGAGACACTATTAACCAGCGCCCTGACCGCGGGGGCTCGGGCAGTGCTTTGATGCCCGTGTCTGCAATTTCATTTGTTTGGTTTTCCTGCTTTACTCCATTTCACTCTCAGTGTTGGCAGGGAGGAGAGGAGAGAGGTCAGAAACTGAGCAAACAGGAAGACAGGAATCTGAATGAGGGTGACCGGTCAGGAAACAAAGCCAGCAGGCGCTCAGGGGGAGGCACAGGCCAGGGCGAGTCAGCAGGACAGCACCCGGTGGGAGGAGAGCTGCTTTCTGAGCACTTAGGGCTCCACTCCTTAGCGCTGGAACATGCAGGG